TTACTCACGAAGCCCCAACTGATGATATCATTGATCCGAAGTATGTGCCCGCCCGCCAACTAACATGGAACCTGACTTTTCGGGGCGTCCTGGCATGGACCATGTTCTTTTATAGGGACGGATCTCCAACGTCAGGTTCCATGTGAAAAAGGGCGCGAGGGTCGAATTTCATCCAGGGCTCTGTTCTGCCAGATGCCGGAGCCAAAGCCAAGCCCATGGAAGGCCTAGACGCGAAATCGACCGGCTCCACTTGCGGCTCATGTCTTGGCGCCTCATGGAGCACAAGCCCACGCCACTGCGGGATGAGCTCCTGCGGCTGTGAGGGCGCAGGAAATTCTCATGGGCCTTGCGGTCTTCACTGCCCTTGCGGGAAAAACACATTGCGGGCGATGCTGGCATTAGTGCTGGCAGTAATGATAAAACTTGAAACTGCTGCTTTCAAAAGGGCCGTCTGAGGAAGATGAATCGTTGCGCCATGCGGAGCATGGTAAGTGGTGATTGAACAGATTCCTCCAAAGGGCTGCACGCGTTGAAATGATAACACTAGTCCGGACTGTGCGAAGTAGAAATGTTGCACAGGTCCCTGCGCTGTGATTACTCGGTGTATTGACAATTTGGTTTCCTCTAAATGCTCTCGACCCTTTGTCATTCTCTGCTGGGCAAAGGGCGCCTCTCTCTTTTTGCGCTGGTCGAAAGCCAGGAGCCAGACTGTCCAAGTTGCGTCATTTGTCAAGCACCATCCTGGAATAGATTGATTTCCCACTCAACAAATTGTGTGACCAATTCGATCCTTGTCCAAGGAAGCACATAGCCTGCGCGCGGGTTGACCCTCCAGAAAGGCGGCAAGCCCTCACCCGCGGAGCCTTCGCATGCAAGTCTTTCAGGGGTCGTGTTGAAACATGCGTCAAGCTCATGTTCAGATCGTGCGTGTTCCACCTTTTGTGAGAATGGTAGCAAGTCACTGCAGCTTCGCAAACTGCTCACAAAATCCAGCATTGAAGTACGAATCGCCAAGAAGAGTGTCTCCTCCACACTGCTGCTTGCGAATTGGGCTTCAAGAATCCTGCGATGCCTCAACGCACATGTGCACGTATGGCTGGACGACAAGTCGACATCCGCAGCATTGAGCTTCCAACCACTGGAACACCAAGTGGGTCGGCCGCCCGTGCTGATCAGCAGAGCAGAATGTGCCGGCACCACCAACCTCATGGCGCTGTCCAGTCAACTCCAAGGGTGAGGCCGTGCTTAGCCCCCAGCTCCAGGGAGGGGAGGCGGCATAGTTACTGAAAGAACAGCGTCAGCATCTTCCACACCCAAGCTGCAGAAGAATTCTGGGACGACAACCTCAGCGGAAGAAATACAACATGACTTATGCATGACCCTTGTGACGGTTGTGCAGAGTGTCCTTTCAACTCACCACCGGCATGGTGCACCACAATACCGAGGCTGCAAAATACAAATCTGCTTGCCACACTCCTGCAGCCTCAAGTTCTGCCACTGCTGCTTAGGCGCATGCAAACCCTTCTGGCAATCAGGATCGCAGCAATCTCCGCTTTGGCCGGTGGCCTTCCACATGGCAGGGTAGGAGCCTTCTGCGTTCCTGAGCTCAGCGGCGACGAACAAAACGCACGCGCATTCGGGAGGTTGCCAGCTGCGCGCTGAGGACAGGGCCGAAATCGAAGAGGCCCCTGCACTGGTTTTAGGCCAATGAAGGTCGGGAGCTGCTTCATCACTTCCTCAGCCAGCTGCCCACGCAACAATCCCATGATCCTTGCGAATTTATGGAACAATCAAGCGACTTCCAGCAAGCTTGCGGCACAGCCTGGGCTTAAAATCGAAGTTTGACTGTTGGGAAACCCAAATCAAGGGGCGTTGTAAGCCAAGGGAAGCTAAGGACTGCCTTTGAGCAGCCCAGCTATCAAACACATTGTCCACATGGTTTATTTCCACCCACAAGCGCGCACAAACAGGCACACTCGCACACTTTGAGCCCACACGCAGATGCACAAGCATGCAGGCAGGCATAGACACAAAGACACAGAAACACACATACACACATACACACAAACTAAAACACAAATACAGACACATGCAAGCGCGTGCACATACACATTCACATAAACAGAGACGCACAGGGACAGACAGAGACACACAGAGAAGAGAACACAGAGACACACAGAGACACACAGAGACACACAGAGACACACAGAGACACACAGAGACACACAGAGACACACAGAGACACACAGAGACAGAGACAAAGCGACAGTGAGCACCGTGACAACTGCAGAAACCAGCCCAAAATCAAACTATCGGCACAAAACACAGGCACACAAACAAACACAAAGGCACAAACACAAACACAAACACAAAACAAATACACAAACAAAAACACTTGTGCACGCGCACACTCGCACGCACTCACACACACAAACATACACAAACAGCCAACACAAAACAAACACACACACACACAAAAAAAAGGAGAAGAGGACCACCC